TTGCACAAAAAAAAGTTAAAATGAAACAGCTAATATTGTTTCTAATCACTGACATATCCAAGACTGCATTTTTAAAACAAAAAAGCATTTAGTGTGTGGAAAATATTTTTTTTGTTTTTCATAAAACGTAACAATGGCATTAAACAAACTGACATTTAAAGGGTTAATATATATATATATATATATATATATATATATGCATGCATGCATGCTCAGGACTGATGTTAATAAAAGAAATTCAGTAAAAAGTGGAAATATGCTATAAATATAATATTTTTATGACTATTTTTGACACTAACATTTTTGTCCTGTATAACTTTTTTATAATTGTCACACTAGGGTTAAACTGCTAATAAAGAGCTGCTTTCAAACAGCAGAAAACCACAATGCCAAACATGCAGACAGCGAGCTGGCTAATGATAAACAGAGCTCAGCCCCCACCCTGCCTGCTCCTCAAGAAGCAAAGTTCAAGAAAGTTCCTTGCTCTTTCACTTGGTTAAACAACACAATCCTGCAACTTAGCAGAGAAGCAAGCACCTTTTGGTTGAGTCTCAGTACACAGAGAGAGAGTCCTTCTGTACCTTGTTTCGTCAGTGCCGGTTGGTCCAGCCGTATGGTCTCCGGGGCCTCAGCATTCCCAGGAACCGACCTTAAGCTCTAGCCGTCTGCTGCTTCCCGTGCCCTGCTTTTCTCCATTCATCAGTAAATCATGAGATCCAACGGTCAGGAGAGACAGCTGACCCGAGCATCTGTGGTGACTGGCCAACAAGCCTCGCTCTGTTCTCTGTCCCTCTCTGTCTCTCTCTCTCTCTGAGTAGTGGAGGGCGAGCAAGCGTGTGTCTGTGTGTTCAGGGATTTGACACTGCTATTCAAGCCCTCTGGTTGCCATGGCGCCGCCTGCCTTATAAGGGTAATAGAGTCAAAGAGCAGTGAGTGGGCTGTAGCCACTCTAAACAAACAACCAGGAATGTGTTACCACACACACGGTTAACCCCTCCAGGGATGACCATAGGTACACTCAGCATGCCTCTGAGGACGGAGAAGACCTCCTTAGTGAAGATCTAAACCTTAGAAGATGTGTCAGCGTGATTAAAATCAAAGACTGTAGAACTGTAGAAAGTTCCTCACCAAACACGAGCTTCAAAAAAACACTAGCATTTCATCCTGTTTCACCAATCATCTCGTAATATTCTGAAAGAAGTCATTGTTTTATGCGGATCGTTTTGTGCTGAGCTGGTGTAAATGTGCTGTATTGAAGAGCTTTGTGCTGCTTTGTTAATCTGATTTAGGGCTTTTTTAGATCACTTTCTGTGGAAATCTTTTTGTCTTCTCATGATTGCTTTGGCGTTTACTCTGCTGAAAAAGACGTCTTAATGCAGGCAAAGCTAGTTGGTTTAGGACAGTCTGTGGACTGAAACTCATCTGAAACCAGCAAACCGGTTCAGGTGGTAAAATGTCAGATGGTACAACCCCACAAATTTTTATAATTTAAATATGTTTAACATAACTTCTTGGACATAATGATTACCCTCACATTCAAAAGTGTAAAGAAAATTAACTTGATACATGAGTTTTTGTTATCAAAGTTTGTTAAAAGTGGTGTCATTAAGATGCATTAATACATTTCGAAGAACTTGACACATGCATTATAAACTGCACTTTTTAAATTCCTTTTCTTTACCTTGGACACTCTTAAAGGCTTCCATAAGATACATTCCTTTACACAAATCTGTAAACCAAAATAAGTTGGCAAAACTCAAAAAATGTAGGTAATCATTATATAAGAAAATTTAAGATTTTTATTCTTAGATTTTCATTTTGCACACATACATGTCAATTGCTCCAATAACGTGAAACAACATTAATCTTGCACACACACACACACACAAAACATTATATAATATATAATTGATTTTAGCATTTACTCTCCCTTTTGAGTGCCATGGCAAAGCAAGCTGGAAAATAAGTTAAATTTAGTTTAAATGAAAAAAAAAACAAGTTAATTAAATTAAAAAAAAATAAGACAATTAAAATTACTTAAGAAGTTTACTTAAGTCAGTTTCATGAACTCAAAGGACAAAGAAAGTTCTAAATACTCATAAAAGTTCATTTGAAATAATTTGTTAAATTCAAGTTTGCCTGACTCAAACCAATTAATTATTTTGAGCATGGAAAGTCACTGCTCTACTGATTTGTTACAAATTAAAATACTTGTTTCCTTTCTGTAACTTTAATTTACTCTTAATAACAAGTATTGCAACACTTATGTTTGATAGCTTTTTTATTACAATGAATCATATTTTTTTTAATTTAGGTTTTCCCTAAATATACTCAAACCAATGAATTCTTGAGCATTAGGGTTTACAGTGATTCTTTGTATATTTTTGTCTTTTTCAAGTCATGTTTATTCTTTTCAACCATATGTTTTATAAAAATAACACTGCTTTACTGATTTGCATCCTACCAAGTCCAGATAGCAGAGATTTGGAGCCGTTTGTCCTGTGCTCTCTGTTTGTTTTCACTCTCTGTGTGTGTTTCCAGGTTTCTGGGGTTGAACTGTTGGTCTTTGATCCGGAATGCAGCTCTTCCTGGATTCTGATCACTTAGTATCTCTACACTCTCTCTTTCCTACAAATAAAAGTCAATCTCAAATTATCATAGACGATTTATCTAGTGCAGACACTGGACCATGCAGTCGCAATTCCAGCCCTTTTATTTTAAACTCAATCTTTAAATTCTATTCTGCCCTCAGTTCTTTGCTTTTATCATCCGTATTATAGTATATGAGATTACAAAGGTTTTATTCTGATCTGATTTTTCAGGAAAAGGCTTAGTTTCACCAGTGCTGTGGCCTTACGACATTAGTAGCCCAGACGGCCTGAGCTCTTGTTCAGGTGTTGAGGATTGTTGAAAGTGGGTTTAAACTTTAACCATTTCATAGGTGCAAAAGCATTTGCCCGAGCAGCATGCACTGAACTCTCTAGCCTCTATTGCTTTCTGACCCGTGCGAGAGGTCTGTCTCTCGACGTCGTGGGACCTTTGACCTTAACAGAGAGACGGAGCGTCAGACACTGACCAGCACGCCACAGCGAACATCTGCTGGGCCACGAATCAACATCCTCCACCCTGAGAAAAACACAGCAAACTGCCTTCATTTGGTGGGAAAGTCACACTTGAGCAATTGTTATTCAAATGAGCTGACCTCAGTATTGATTTCCAGGTTTTTAAAGATGTCTCGCACCCAACTAAACATTTAGTCACGTGTTCTTCTCTCAGTGTTATTTTAGTGGCTTTGAGATACTATTATAGTTTTTATATTTATATTTTCCATTATACGTTTTTAAAGTTTTGGTCATTTTGTTGTGTCATTTTTATTATGTCTTCATTTTTATGTCTACATATTTTTGTTTAGTTTTATTCATTTTTATTTCAGTTTTAGTTATTTTATTTTAGTATATCACATTAAACTCAATTAAAATGAGAAACTGTGCTGTGGCAACTAGATGAAAAAAAAAAGGTTTTTATATTTTATTTCACCTAAAAATATATTTTTTATTTCAAGCAACATTTTTTTTTTTATGGTTTTAATTTTAGTTTCAGTTTTAGTTAACTATAATAACCCTGGTTCCTCTAAACAAAGGTGGAATAGTTTAGCTAATAACTTGCTAATAAAAGCATATACAATTAATATTTTAAAATAAAACCATGCGATTAATCGCGATTAATCGTTTGACAGCACTAGTAGAAACAAAATGTTTTCTCAATAAAACAGCTATTGCTTTCAGTGTAACATATTTGCTAGTTGCCAAGTTTAATCACACCATTTTGATATTCACCATTTTGACTCATAATTTCAAAGGTAGGCCTTTTTTGGCCAATCAAATTTATATTCTTGATGTTATAAATGTTATATGTTACTTGTTATATGTTATAAATGCTATATTCTTCACATTTTAATATTAATTTGAAATAAAATCATAAAATTATTGCAAACCGTAACAATGTACCCAACGAGCAATTAATAAATACCTTGACAATGGGTCATTGGAGATCAAATATAGAAAAAATTAAGAGGACAGTTACCGTAATGTGTGTGTTTGTGTGT